ACTGCTTCTCTGAACGCCTTAGCCCACACTCATGAAACAGTTGCTCTGGAGCACAAACTCGCCGTATTTTATCGGAACAAGGTGCCTTCAATGTTGGTGCAGCTTCAACAGTTTCTTTTTTGATCCATGAAAACTCCCTGAAACATCCTCAATGACTCAAGCTATCTCTGCTTGTTGAGCATCGTTCCCCCCAAACCAAACATATCAAAACATTGTCGTCTCCAACGAGTCAGTAGCAATCGAAATGCAACACCTGCCCGAACTTGGTTTGGTGACGGTACTTGTGTCTCAAGAATCACATGCTGTAATTGTTATACAAATGCAAGTGGATGTCTGCCAAGAACAGAACACAAAAGCATCCTCGTAGACTCGTAGGTCGCAAAAACACGGGAAATACTACTCAAACAACCCTATTTCTAACAACTCCAAGCCCGGACAGCTGGGCCCAAGCTGCTCAAACACACCTGAAAAAAATCTGGAAAAAACGGCAACGTCCAACGACGCACTCCAGCCTCAGCACTCCATAGCTTCGCGTGCGGCAGTGCCACAGATTGGCGTGCAATTGCTCGATCTTGACCGACCAGGAACGGCATCTCGAAATCTATTACTCTGTCTGCCCCATGAAACAGCCTCGCAGTCGGCAGCGGAGTAAGTCACTACAAACCGGCCTCCTGCCAAGCAGGCACACAGAACATGTCGGCCCAGGAACGTGCATTGCAGGGCTCCGCATCGAGGCATTGAACCATCACAAGCCATGTCCTCGAAGAATGCTGCTCAGGCTTCAGATGCGACGTGAAGACGCGGTGATGCATCGAAAAGTGCCAAGCTCAATTAAGTGGCTGCTTGCAACTCCAGCTTGCCATCAGACCGAGCTTGAACTTCAATATCTCGAATGTGCTCTTTGGGCCGTGCATATAGGTAAACATCTCTTGTGATGCCGGCAAACCACCACCTGAGTAGTGGACAGAATCACTTGAGGAGACGGGGGCGGACGAAAGGTAGCATGTCTGCTGCTGCTGCTGCTGCTGCTGCTGGTTGCTGCTGCTGGTTGCTGGTTGCTGCTGCTGCTTGCGGCTGCTGCTTGCGGCTGCTGCTGGTTGCTGGTTGCTGGTTGCTGGTTGCTGGTTGCTGCTGCTGGTTGCTGGTTGTTGCTGCCGCTGCTGCTGCTGCTGCCGCTGCCGCTGTTGCTGCTGCTGCTGCTGGTTGCTGCTGCTGCTGGTTGCTGCTGCTGCTGCTGGTTGCTGCTGCTGCTGGTTGGTTGCAGCTGCTGCTGGTTGCTGCTGCTGCTGCTGGTTGCTGCTGCTGCTGCTGCTGCTGCTGTTGCTGCTGCTGCTGCTGTTGCTGCTGCTGCTGCTGGTTGCTGGTTGCTGGTTGCTGGTTGCTGGTTGCTGCTGCTGCTGCTGCTGCTGATTGCTGCTGCTGCTGCTGCTGGTTGCTGCTGCTGCTGGTTGCTGCTGCTGCTCCTGCTGGTTGCTGCTTCTTGCTGGTTGCTGCTGTTTCTTGAATCCTGAAGGCTGCTGCTGCTGCTTTGCTGTCCCCCCCTCTTTCAATTTCGTCTGCGCAACCCCCCAAAAACTGAACGAAAACCAAGGGTTGTGGAGGCCAAACTTGTGTGAGCTTTGGTGCTTTGCTGCTGTTTTCTGCTTTGCTGTGTTGCTACTGCTGCTGCTGCATTGCTGGTTTCCTGCTGCTGCTGGCTACTTGCGTCTGCTCAGATCGCTACCAAATTCTCCGCGGCGCAGGGTGGAGTCGAATGGGGGGGCGCCCCCCCCCCCGACATTTAAAACCAACTCTTAAACCATCGAAATCATGAGTCGGAGCACTTCACCACCCCCAATACATTGTTGCTAAAGCAAAGACAACTCAGGTAGCGTAACCGCTACCTTTCGTGATGAGTGCAAGTTGTCCCCGATCGGTTAAGACCAGCCATAGTAGTAGGTCATTTCTATTTAGTCGGTTGCTCACCAAAGCCCCAGGCAGTGAATCAAAATGAGAGACGTGTACAGAATAGGCATTGAATACTTTGTTCACGGCGTAGTGTGTGCAACAGTTGCACACAACCACTTAGCTTTGAGGTGTTTTCAGACATGGTTGCCAACAAATCACCACCACCACCTTCTGCTGTTCGTCCTCCTCCTCCTCATGGCAACAAGCAGCGAGAATCCCCTGACCAAGTCACCCCCCGGCGCTTGCCGCTTACTTGCCACTGAGTAGCATATCCTGGTCTTCCAAGTATGCAGCTGCACCCCAACAAAGCACTCGAAGTGCCAGCAAATTCTGGCCAGACCTGCAAGTGAAAACATGCTGGGGCACGCTGCAAGCGGGCCTGCAAGTGTTCAAACATGTTCAACCGCTATAGATTTGGCTGTGGCTCCTGGCCGCAAGTATTTGGTCACATTAAACTCCACCTGAGGCAATGTTGACATATAACCGTTGCTGATCGACAAGAACAACAGGACTGACTAGTTGCAATAGGTTCCAGTTCTTACAATTCTTGCAGCTAGGTCACTGGAAGCTTGCTGTCCGTGCTGAAGCCCAATGAGTGCCCGTTTAGAAATGCATGGCAAGTGCAGCAAACAGCGCCCAAATGCAGGAAGACCTGGTAGTTGCCTGCACTGATCTACTGCAAACACTAGTGGAAAGGCATGCCGCTCATGATGAAACCAAAGTCCTTCAAGCCAAAAGGAAGGAATGTCAAAGATTCTGCGGTAGAAACCGGTGGGGTTGTACTCCTGAGCACCGGTGCCACACACACACACACATGCACGCGCGCACGCACGCACACAGGCGGGCAGCGTGACTAAGCGAATCCATTCACCCCAAAAGCTGCAGGATTGCCTCAAGAACTTGAAGCTGAAAACTATTGAAAACTAATTCACACCAACTTCCCCATGCCAGGTTGCGGAGTCTTCACCTCTGTACCTGCACTCGGAGGTTGAATCTCTATATACAGTAAGTACAAAAATGATGATTCTCTATGCAGCTTTCCCTTGGCTAAATAGAAAAACATCACACCGATGACAAACGCTAGCAGTCATTAGCCATGCAGAACAGTTCCAACAAATACAAGTACATGTTATATGCAAATCGTTTTGCCGTGGCCTAATGTTTGGAGGGTCGCAATGGAAAATGTAGTCCACCTCTGCTCTCAGATTCTCAGACTTTCATGGCCAAATCATGCCAAATCTATTTCAAGGAAAGCTCCGGTTGATCAAGGTCAGATCCAACATGCCATGGTTGAATCTAACTGCGGGCGGCGTGGCGTTGGTGTAGATAGGGAAACCATACCTCGCCCGGCTTGCTGGTTCGATAATGATTGCTGCTGCGACTTTCGAGAGAAGAAGGAATTAAGTCACCAAATGTGCTAGCCCAACTCGGTTATATAAAATTTTCCTGTGGAACCGAGGTTGCAGCACAATGCAGCACACATGTTCTGAACATGATCTTTTGCCACATCCTGTGCTGAACAGCCGCGTGTGGGCCTAAGCCCCCAAGCCCACAAGCAAGAGTTCATCATTGGATCCGTTTGGTATTGTTGGTCATGTTTCTCAAACAGTATTCTCAGCACACCTCAAATTGTCATGCACCATTGGACCATTGGTGATCAACAATGAGAAGATCTGACAAAGCTTCTCACTTTCTCCCAAATCATCAAATCGTTGCTCTCGAAGCTTTGGAGTCCCAAGACACAACGTCTGAAGGCCTATCCCTACTTCCCTCACTCGTTCGTACTTGGCTGGGACATCAACACAATGTGGGTGGACTCGTTCAAGAACCCACCACTAGTTCAATTGCACCTCATACTGTTGAATCCCTTCATGGCAAGTCAACCATGCCAAATTGCAATCCCTTGGTTGAAGTTGGTGTGCTATCCCGGGTGGCTTTCTCAATTTCCTTGTAGGCATGACAGGTTTACATTTGCTATTTTGTCCGGCGGCTGATGATTTTTTTTGCACTTGACAACTTAGATTCTTACCCTGAATCCTGACATCGCGTGCAACTACAAAGTATACAAGTGCACTCATCTAAGTGCTCTGAATGCGTCATGATACCCATTGAGCTCCCAATTCCCTGGCACTTGCATCCCACCCCATGCACCATCATCAAAGTCGTCATTCTGGAAGCCTGCAGGCGATGCTGTGCAGCCTCACCCACCAAAATACATTGAATGGTGCTGGGCAACTCCAGAAAGAAACATGAACAAGGCATCCATTGGTCATGAGAAACAGTAGAGCGTCCCCTGAACCACGAAGCCAGCACATGCATGCTGAAAGGATAGGCAAAGAACGTGTGCGTGAGGAGGCTCGTTTTGCCGCTTCATCCGACAAAGGGCTAGAAGCACAATTGCTGGCTGCGCTCTTGGGAATCGGTGATAATCCACTGGGGCACCTCCGCACTGCCTATTCTGTATATTGTTTTTTGATGAAGTGTAATGAAGTGTGCCCAGCAAACCTCTACGACTCTACGAGTAACTATTGATGATTGAACATGTTGAGCAAGGGCAAGCAGGATGAATAGACTGCAGTTTTGCACGGGTTACATCAGGGTGCAACAGTGCAACCTCATC